AAATTCCAATTTTAAGAAACTGTAAATTTTATACCTTACTCAAATTTGAGAGAAACGGGTGAGGTGCAAAACCTGTATCGACAAATGCTGGCTGACAATATCTTCTACGCTTGTATTTGTCCCAGACCACCTATTTAAAAGTTTTTAAAAAGTCATAAAAGGGTGGAAATTAGGATTTATGTTTATTTCCATTTACTTAAAGGTAATTTTTGTTATTAAAGATAATCGTAGTGACCAAGATGTAGTGTATGACTCTCACCATCATTTGACAACAGTAAACTAACATTAACGTTAAGTGCACATGCATTCAACAATTTGTAAATAACCAGAGGAATTTCCGAATTGATTGTTTTGACACTTGCACATATAAGAAGCTATTTGATATCAATATATTTTCAGTTTTTGATGTGTGCGTGTATAAAACTGTTTTAGCCTACGTGTATAAAAATTGCTTAGTACTTGTGTGTGCATTAGTACGTGCATTTGATAGCAGTCAGGGGTGAATGGCAAAAGTTTTCATCATCAAGACGAGAAAAGCCCTATATAAATACAAACCATTTACTATGACACTAGAGGGCATATGAATATCTGGTCCAGGCTCTTGCCATCTCACGCCTAGACTACTGCAACTCTCTCCTGGCTGCTAATGCTATCCGACATCTGCAGCTCATCAATAATGCAGCAGCTTGACTGGTCTTCAACCAACCTAAGCTCACTCACGCCACACCGCTCCTCTGCTTCCTTTACTGGTTTCAAAACACTAGTATTGCGTACCGTGCTGAGAACGGATCAGGCCCAGTCTACATCCAGGACATGGTTAAACCTTACACCCCAGCCCGTCCACTCCGCTCTGCATCTGCCAATCAGCTTGCCGCTCCCTCACTGCGAGGAGGGCACAGCGAACCACTCAACAAAATCACGACTGTTTGCTGTCCTGGCTCCTAAATGGTGGAACAAGCTCCCCATTGACATCAGGACAGCAGAACGTCTACACATATTCTGCCACACGCTAAAGACACATGTCCTTTGACTACACCTTGGTCAAGAAGATGATGTCAAATAACCAATAATAACAAGGAAAGGAAAATTAAGTTTAGTTAGTATGTGGTTTTGCTTTTGAAGTTAATGTACCCTCATAGTAAAATAAGTCCCTTTGGATAAAAGCATCAGCTAAATTAAATGTAATGTAATATATAATTACCCAATTATTATCTATATTATGATGACATGTCATCAATGCTGAGAGCTGGTCGAGTAAACCAAAGATATGCAAGTCAAAACAATAGCATGCCCTGCCCTCTGTTGTTTTCTCAAGGTTTATAGTGACTGTGGTTCATAACACAGGTAAATTGTGGTGCATTTATTTGTGTTGAAACTTCAGTAATCAACAGCTTTGAAGATAATTGAACCGCTAATAAGAATGAGGTGATTCATATGTCCACAGATAATAGCCACTAGGGACATGATCGACTCCAACATAAAATAGGAAATGACCAATTTGAAAAATAATTGTGTTTTAATTTATAGAAGAATATATACCCAGCAGTGCTATCAGAACTTTAGAAAGCAGTCAAAACTGTCTCCTATTATATTTTCATTGTCATTTTAATCTTTCTTAATTGATTTTATTCCCATTTTTTTATCGCTTACTGTTTTTAATGTGGTCCCACGACTTTTGTGTTTGAAATGTCCTGCAGAAATGTCTTGCCTTGCACTGTTGCTTTCTTATATACTCAATGTTTCCATACTCACAGATCTCCATCACAGATCCCCTGTCAACAGACCAGGGCGTTGGAGTGGTGAGTGTGCAAATTCAGGCTGGTTTTTCTTTTTGCAAAATCATTTTGTCAGACATAGTCAAAAGAATCCATGTTTACAAAATACCAGGAAGCAATGTTTTTTTTAAAAGCTTCAATTCAATTCAGTTTTATTTGTATAGCTCCAAATCATAATATACATTATCTCAAGACACTTTACATAGAAGGTCAAGACCTTAAAATCTTATTTGATATAGAGAAACCCAACAGTTCCCACAATGAGCAGCACTTTGGAGACTTTGGAGGAAAAACTCCATCATTAACAGAGAGAAACCTCTAGAACCAGACTCGATGTGGGCGGTCATCTGCCTCGACCGGTTGGGGTGAGCAGAGAAAAAGGGGAGGAGAGGAGAGAGAGAGATATTGGGGAGGAGGAGGAGGGGGAGAGCGAGAGAGGCGAGAGAGACCGGGAACACTTGAGCACCATCAGGTATCAGATATTTGTGTTCACCATAACAGAAACACAGATTTGAGCCATTTTCAGATTACATTTATATTTCTATACTTTGTACCCTTTCATTATTGATTGACATTATTACTATTACGAAGTAAATAACAGCTTGAATCAATATAATGTTTAACAGCTTTAATGTTTTTCTTCAACAGGATTTAGTGTGTTTGACAACTTTGGCAAAAGTGGTGAGTGACTTCAATAGACATCAACATTTGGTAGCATACTCCGGCAAACTGTGCATTCATTTAAGGTACAGTGAATACAATAGGTAAGTGACGCCTTCTTATTCATACATTCATACATACAATATCTATCTTACAGGAGCTTCTTCCCTAAACCCCAAACCCACTAAAGCCACAGGTGAGGGTGAGTCTACAGGCATCTTTAAATGTATCATGCTTTTATCACAATAGCAGTAACATGATTGTGTAAAAATTAAATTTCTTTGGACTGGGGAATCTGGCCAATGCCCTTGTGTTTCTCTACTATTGTTTATCCTGCTGCAAAAAACCGGCACACATCAGAAGCTGAAACTAAGAGCTGCATTTTGTTAGCAATATGTTCTTTAATCGGAATCCCTAAAAATTAATTACACTGCTTATATTTTGTTGGTTGAAGGTTAACGTGGTATTTCTGTTGATCCATAGATCCCAAACCCTTCAAGGCTGCGGGAGGAAGTGAGTACACAAAACTTCACATATTTAAAATTGAGTTGAGAATAGTGTTCAGAGTCACAGTGACCATAATATAACATATTAAACAAGCTAAACAATCTTTGACTTTGATGTGTTATCTATTTTAAATTTAACTTTAACTCTTTCATTCCTAGATGGCTTTTCTCTGGAGGATGCTCTTCATCCAGGTAAAACAGTAACGGATGCTACGTTGAAGAGTTCTTTCATATTTAATTAATTATTACTTGGTTCGATTTTACATATATTTTTTACTCATACAGTTTTGTGCTCTCTAAGTGTTATAAATGAAGTGTTATGTTCTTATTATGTTCCCCCAGCTGCAAAGCCTACTGACAAACCAACAGGTGAGTCAACAAACGTGTTACTCTGTTCTTCTTGATAAAACTACCTCTTATTTAATTCATGCATTGTACACTGAATGTATGTATAGAGATGAGTTCACACCAACAAAATAATGACATTGCTGTAAACTCTACCTTAGATTGTCAGGGAAATGTGGCCCAAAAACTTGGCACAGTTATTGAGCGACAAAATCTGCAGCTCCGCCTGCTGGTGCAGCTGATGGCTCATCTTCGAGTTGCCTGAAATCAAGGTGTACTCGGTATCTATGGAATCCCGAGGTGAGTTTAGAGATAAGGTTAGAAATGTTTGTACAATGGCAGATTTTGTATAGCTTAACCCAGTTTTGCAAGATAAAAATGTTTCCAGGACACAATTGCACACATCAACCCATTTACTAATTTTTACTGAAACTAGTTTTTCTTTCTTTTAAGAAATGAAGAGGACGGGTCGACAGCTGACACCCTCTTGAATACGCCTGAACTTCTTAATCGTTCTCCTGATGAATAAACAATCATAAATATATTCGTGTTATGTCTATCTTTAAAAACACATTAAGCAGAACCTCCAAACATAATTAAAGTTTAATGGGTAGCAAGACACTGATGGGTGAAATGACTGGTGAGGTAAACTCTGTTTAAAAGATATTATATTAAACTTCTAGTGAATCGATAAAGATGATCATGAAGGTTCCTCTTTTGTGTGATTCTATTTGCCTTATCCTTAGAAGACCACGTTATTTTGTCAAGGTGGAGCAGGTTTAACAATAATGTGAGAAATAAGAAACGTAAGCAGATATCTTTATAAATTATTTGAATGGTTTTTCTGCTCCAGAATTTCTGGGTGTCCACTCTTCTGATCTCAAAACAGAGCTTCTAACATACAGAGGGAGAGTTTCTCAGATTATGAATACATCACAACTACTAATTTCAAACAATGATCCTTTGATTGCCAACACATAATCTGATAGTGTTAATGCATATAAACCTACACACTTAATGAATAAAACACTAATTACAACTAATTTGGGGGAAAATAACAACACACTCAGAAAAAGCAGTCTAGAGTAGTTCTTGGATTTATTGTACTTCAAGCAAAATACACTAAACGTAGACTGGTTCATAGATTTAGATTTTAAATGTATTATTTAGATTTAAATATAACATATATTTGTGTTTCATATTTAGTTATAAATCTAATCTTTAGATTTGACATCAAAAGACTTCATGATCTGTCAGGGGTAGGTACGGCGTCAACATGACGCAGAAGCATAAACTAGGCTTTAGGGTTAGTCGGAAAATTTGTCGGCAGGCCAACATGTTGGATTCAAATTGTTGTCAGACCCCTGTCTCTCGTCTTATCTATTTCTCATCTAAAATGAATTTTCAAATCATTGTAGAGCAGTCTTAAAATGTCTTCACTCCACTCGGCTGTTTTTAAAAATTAAGAGGGACAATGTGAACTCCTGTCTATGGGGGGCAGCATTACGCTGTACAACAGGGTTGCCAGGTTTGCGATTTTACTAGTCCCTGCAATCTTCCTCTCAGTGGCCGCTGCAGACAGAGAGAAGAACAGAGGACCACTCCTCATGACCTTCTACAACACAGTGGTGGCATCAGTCATTTTCCAGGGACTGGTCTGCTGCGGACAGGAAGAGACTGAATAAACTGATCGGGAGGGCCAGTTCTGTCCCGGGGAGCTCTCTGGACCCAGCGGAGGTGGTGGGAGACAGGAGGATGTTGGTCAAACTGTCCTCCATGATGGAGATGGTCTCCCACCCCATGCAGGACTTTTTAACAACACGAAGCAGCTCCTGCAGTGATGGAGATTCCTGCTGCTGTCAGACTGTACAACAAGCACTGCACCCAGTAGACCACCATACACACTCCCTCCCTCTCTGTCTCACTCACACACACGCACACACACAGAACCTCATCATGTACAACCAATGCAGAAGTCTCAGTGCAATTTGTATATAGTAATGTATCTTTGTTTTATCTTATCTTTACTTTATATTCTTCACTTCTCATGCCTGTTTGATTATCTTGGTGTTGCATCATTGTTAATTTCCCAATCTTGGGACAATAAAGGATTTCTGATTCTGAAGCATTGGGGAACTCGGTTAAAGAACTGTTGACGCTAAATAATACTCAACGTTTATGGGTTTTATGCAACGATGCAGCAATGATCAGTTATCAAATAATAATAAAATAAAAATATAAATATTAAATAAAAATCAGTGCGATTGCAGCGGTATATTCTGATCTCCGGTATTGGGCTGGTGTGGTTGTCATTTCTGCTTCAGATTGAATAAAAACCCAAACTTTTTGTACTGACGATAAGGAAGGAGAAATAATGTTCACTCATCAGTTCATCCTTTCATTCACTTGCACACACACACATGAAGTAAACGGTGTCTCATCTCTTTTGATCGGTCACAGGGCTGGTTTTGCCACGCAAACCTGGCAACCCTACTGCGTGAGAATTGGTTATACAAGTTACTTTTCAATGGAAATGTGTGCTTCAGTGTAAATCGCAGCGGACAAACCGGTTTAATCTACATGTTTATACACTTCAACACACTTTCCCAGGTTATTTGTTTTTGCTGACGAGTAAGATCACTTACATTTAAAATGAATAAATACTCAGGAGCTCCGTTAAAGATCTTAAGTGGTGGATTTGATTTGTTTGAGGCCTTATATATCACCGATAGCTCAAAGATCAAAGCCAAATTCATTTACATAAGCAAATAACGCCCATGTGGGGCTGTGCCACACCCAGCGTGTTCCTCCACGGCAAAGTTGACTCACGGACTGTAACAGGACACCAGCTGGAGAAGTGCGTCCTCGAAGTAGTGCGAGCTGAAGAACACTGAGCACTGAGACTTAAAGTTAAAGCCTAAGAAAGCGAAGAGAGAAACAGTCACCATGAAGTCTCACCTGAGGATTGTTTTACTTATTTTTCTCGTTGCAGGGACTTTAGGAGACGACGGTAAGCCACTTAACGTTTATTACGAAGTGTATGTTTTGTTATTTTGTGCACACCACATAGTTGCAATGTGTGTTTTAGTTCACGGGCAATGTTAATTTAAAACTAAACGTTTCTATTTCTAAGACTATGCCATGATTTGCTGGCAGCAGTGGGAGGGGCATTCTTTTCCAGACATGTTACATGAGCCTCAGACAAACTGCAGGGTAGAACCCACCTTCTGCTTCCTGCAGCAGTTTTAGTTCCTCTTCATCATGTCTACATGTCTACACTTTAAGATCTGACAAATCCACCGTTGGACACGACGTGTTGGCTTAAGGATCATGACGTTATCCCAGAAATACGACATCCCATAATGACAAGCAAATAATTTATTTAAAGGCACAGTCTGTTGAATTTTGTGGTATCCAGTGGTGAAGTTGCATGTTGCAGCTGAACATCCCTTATCTCACCCTCCACTTCCAAACATGAAAAAGAACTTGTGGTAGCTTCAGTTGTCATAAAAACTCAAAAGGTGTTTAGTTTGTCCAGTCTGGACTAATGTAAAAAACATGGCGGCCCCCGAGGATCCCCTCGATGTAAATATAAAGTATTTAAATATAAAGGGTCTTTTCTGGGGTAAAGAAAACTACAATTCATACAATTTACATGAAATGAACTCGTGAAAACATCATGAGGATTATTTCAATTCAATTCAAAAGACTTTATTTTCCTTGCACGGCCGTACTTGGTACACTAGCACGACGAAATTGTGGCCCAGTCCTCCTCCTCGATGCCAGACATACAATTAACGAGACACAAACCACTCCACAAATTGAAATAAAAATAAGGGGATTGCAGGACAAAAGGCATTTAGCGAAGTGGATGTACTATACAAAAAAGAATCATTGTACCGATAATGTACCGATACATTCAGATAATATGCATATTTGGAGAAGTGCAAACTTTACAGAATAAATACTATATACGGATAATATATCGAGATAATCTGGGTAATATACAAAGTGTTTTATTGCACTGAAAATGCCCTGAAAGTGTTTATTGCACATTAAATTTCTACCAATAGTTCCCTTTCTTCCTAAATCCTACACACTGGACCTTATAGTTGAGACAGTAATGAGATTTATCTTACCACATTTATTCTATGCAATTTTTCACATTTATTATATATATTTAATTTATGCCATTCTAAATTGTGATCCTTGACATAAGGGATTTTAAAATCAGTGGTCTGTGTACATTATGTTGTTGTAGAAGATAAAAAATACACATGAGAGAGCTAGACATTCCACACTGGAACACTTATGCTCTGTTTTGATAATTATTTCTTTGGATTCCACACTTAAGTTATTATTTAGTTAAGAATTGTTTTAATCAATGTCCACTCGATATTTGTTACGTGTTGTGTGATTTGATGGGGACCTCAGTATTTAGGTCACGGTTATTGCTTGAAGCCTGCAGCTTATTATTATTTTCCAATATATGATTGTGTGGATCCTTTTTTTGATCAACTGATCATTTATTTGAGGTTAGAGAATACTGAACAATTGTTTGTTACCCAAAGCTAGATTGATTTCTAAAAGGAATGTCTAGACTGTATATACAACAAATGCAAATTTATTTATACCATATGATGACAAATGATTCATTTCACAAAATGAAATGTTTAATCAAAATATTAAATATCCATATATAATATAGATTATGTCTCTGATCTACACTATATGACATCATGCATTTTTATGCTATGCATGACACAATTTCTTGACTTCTTTAGGAATTCTTCATGATGATCATATGATGGGGAATTTTTTTTTTTTTATCAATACAAGCTTCAGATTGTTCCTTTCGCCTTAGCCACAGAGCTTTGAGTAGTCATCAAGACTAGAAAAGCGCTATATAAAAACAAAAAACCATTTACCATTTACAACTAAATACCCAATCTAACTTCTAACCCTAACCTTAAAAGCAAGTCTGAATCCTCCAACAGCCATGTGAAAGTGGGTCAGAGTATTGGCCAAACTCACCTCACAAGGTTTGTAAGTCCAGAAGGTTTAGGCTCAAAAAGGTCCTCACAACAACATGCACACAGGAAACACATCACTTTTCTGATGCTTTTTATTTGTCATAGTGCTATGCTGATTATGTTGAGGCTTTAAAATAATATTTAATATCCTAACACTGGATCATTTGTTACAATTAGATATATTTTTTTCATATATTCTGGAACAGCAGTGGTAAAACCGGCCCCAACTTGTCTGAGTATTCTTTAGGCATGCTGGCTATTGTGGCCCAGGCCTTTTAACCTCATAGGGCAACCCCAGAAACATACAGGATACTCGTCTTTTAAACAGAGGGAATGCAGCATGTTTTCGGCCATTCCTCCATGGTTTATTCATCATAGATTTAAATTAAATGTCTCATCCTTGTAAGAACCTTAACAACCAACAGTTGTAGCTGTAAGATGAAAGAGCATCCTAGAGTTAAGGCTGGAATGGTTCAGTCTCAAAGCAGTATTCAGTTCAGATACTGCTGCTGGACACTATCTGCTGGATGTGGAAATCTGTTTGCTAACATGTTCACTACAATAAACATTCAGGATGATACGTTATGACAGCACTGTGACAGCTTGTCTCCGCTGTAATGAATTAGCCAAACAAATCAGTTACTGCAGGGTTCGGTCGAAGCTTGAGAACCACATCATATATACATATTGTGTTTTCCTTATGCCCAAAAGTGTCACTGATTAAAATTATTTGATTTTTTCATGTTACCGTGGTGCTTTACCCTCTAAACTGAAGTTCACCCATATCATCATAACATAACATCACTCTTAGAATTGATATATGTCAGTACTCTATATTGTGTACATCAGAATTAGCCAGTATGCCATATCTATGTTGTGTACTTTACAACCTCCTGGGCAAAAAGTGCTGGCATGTGCTTTGCTGTGGAGAAACACAACACTAGCCTCAGTAGTTATTCAGGTTTCAAAACTGCTTAGTGAGTTAGTGCTACCATAGCAACTAGCAAATAAACTGTATGACTCGTTGCATCATCTAAACATGAACACATCTTTCCACTTCTGTGGAAGGCAGATAAACTTGAGCTGGTCATTTGTTACGAGTCTCAAAACTGAGAAAAGACTAACTGTGCATCAGTCGATCTATGTCTTGTGCTGATTGTAATGTGGTCCCTTGTCTTTTCATGCAGGATTTAACCTATTAGATGCCCTCGGTGATCCAGGTGAGTGACTCTCTCAGTAGAAGTTGTAGTAGTAATAATAATAATAGTAATATGTTGTACAGTGTGAGTAAGCAACTGGACTTGCTTGTGTTTCTTGATGACGTTTCACCTTTCATCCAAGAGGCTTCCTCAGTCCGGTTACCACGTATATATTTCAGTGGTGGCTGGTGATAACATTTATTTTGGGGGCGCAGTTTTTCTTGACTGAAGCCAGACTCAACAACAACACAACACACTATACGCCAATCCTGTAGCCTTCATCGAGCTGCTGAGAAATACTAAGCCTGCCGCAAAAATGCAGCCTCATTGTTTCTAAATGACTGTGGCAACCTAATGCCACTTCTCGCACCCACGTCGTTATCCACAGTACCCTCTGTGCAGACACTTTGAAACAGCAAACGGGTGAAGTTTTTTTCTTGGTGTTTTTGTTAAGAAATCCCCCGATTTCCCACAGTTCCCCTGAAGACGGTCAGATCGCGGTGGAAGTTACTTCGTGACGGCAGATGTACCTGAGACGGCGTTGAGGGTCGACCAATCCCATTGAAAAAAACGTAAATCAATACCTATTGACTCTAAATTGGGAGTGTCCGGGTGCAGACAGCTGTGTCCCATGTAAAATCAACCAAAAATCAACCAATTAAAAAGCAGCCTCAGGTCGTGTGGTTGCTGAAACCTTCAGGACAACCGTTCACATCCATTTGGCCGGCGCCCCGCACCAGGAAGCGGCACCCCAGTATTAACCAGCAGCCACTGGTATATTTATACAACTTCTAAAGATACCATGACCTGGATTACTGAGACTCTCCACACAAGAGCTACCTCCGTTTCTTGTAGTGTACCTTAAGGTGTCTCTTCAGGTTTGCTTTTCTTTCCGGTCCTCTCTCTTCACTAAATGACACACTCACCTTTTCTCTTCGCATTATAATTAAAGTGGGCCAAAATTTGAACTCTTTTGTTGCTGCTGTGTTCTTTCCTCAGTGTATTTTATCTTATCTTCAACACCCCTATAGTGTTTAAGTGCATGGCTAAGTCCAGTGTAACACTGTTGCCATTCAAAAGACGTTTACATTGTGTCCCTTTTTTGAAAAAAATTAAATAAATCTTTTTTGTCAATGTATATTTCATAGATTACAGATTCTAACACTGGTTATGTCTTTTTATTCCTTTAGAACCAACACCTCCAAAACCTACGGAGAAACCAAAGGCCCCGGAGCAGCCTAAAAATGATGGTTTGCACCTCTCATAACATCCAGTGTAACGTCAGCCTGCTAGGAATGTTTCATTTTGACTTGTACGGTGTCCAGGAGGGTGGAGGTTTGGTTTCAGAAGAGTTCCTTCTACCCCTACTGTGTCCTTGAGGTTTATAATGATATCAGCCTTTCCACCAACTAACACTGTCTAGAATTTTTAAATAAGACTAAGAACGGTGACATCAGATCTGTGAAGCGAGCACCAGTGGTGCTTTGATCTAAATGCTCCCATCTGCAATACTGGCATGATGATTCTGAAACCATAGACAAAACCACGACACAAATCTTGTGTCGTGATAAAACAGCAGTGATGTTCCAACCTCAGCTAGCTTAAGCAGGAATGAAGTGTACGGCTAAGACGGATAATGTCAGTATTAGACAAACTTTTTTACCGGCTGGATTCAGTTCAATTTTTAATGTATTTTTATATATAGCACCAAGTCACAACATACTTTAACTCGAGGCACCTTACATAATAAGGTTGACACCTTAAAAGTCAAAGTAAACCCAACAGCTCCCACAATGAGTAAGCACTTAAAGAAAAACTCTCTCTGAACTGGAAGAAACCTCTAGAACCAGACTCAGTTTGTATGTGTGAGAGGAAACGAGACAGTGAAATTTATAAACCGAATAATGTGCTAACTATGAACTTATAAATAATGTATTTGAGTGACGCTCTGTTTGTATATGATGGTTTGTTTGGCCCAATCCATGTGTTTGAATCCATCCCCCTTTCTTTTCCTCTCAGGTGGGCTGGACCTTCTAGACGCATTTGGACCAGGTAAAATCCACTGTTATTTTTGTTTGCTGTTTTTATTTCATGTATTACCCACCTGTACAAGACAAATGCAAAGACGAAAAATTAGTTTAGAGTTTGCTATAATCTTAGTTAGCAAGAAAAATTTCAGCCGTAGCAATGAAGTAGAAATAAGTAGGTCTAGACTGGATGCAGCTTTTCTCTGTATGATGTCTATGTATTTTGATATAATATGAATCTTGTCTGTGTTCTTTGTGTCCTCGTCTGCATTAATTATTTTTCTCCAGACGAGCCAGCTGCAACTGTGAAGCCAAAGAATCCAAGTTCTGGTGACACTGGTAGGTTGGTTAAATGTTTTCAGCCACATCATGGGTTTGCTTGTGCTCGGGTTTCAAATGTTGTTTGGGATTCGAATCAACCGTGTTGTGTTTTGTGTGCTTGTGTATTACAGGTGGCTTCGGATTTAATCTGGACGATGCATTGGGTCCAGGTAAAGCTGTCACATGAAAATGGTTAAAACAAATATACGGCTCTCACCGTATATTTACTATGTCAGTTGACTTTTTGCAGAACCCCCTTTACTATTAGCAATTGTCCAGTTATAGCAACTGTAATTATAGGCATGGCAGGCATGTCAATCTTTAGATCGCCCAACATGATTTAATATTAATAATTTGAATCATAATATTCATAATATACTTATTATCTTATTATCTGCAGCAGTAAGTGTAAATTCTAAAGGCAGGGGCATTTTATTCTGTATTAGTTCATGGTGTTACAGATAATGTTTAAAAAGCATCACCCCCTTATGATACTGTCACACAGGTTAGGCTAATGTTTAACTGTCCTACTCTGCTGGATTTGGTGATGTTTACACTCAAGAAACCGGAGCCAAACTCTTATCTAGTGTTCACCAAACATACTGGCAAGGCATCATGCGAAAAGCATTTTCTCTTGTTACATTTAAAGGGATTTTTATTTTTTTAAATACTAAACAATAAAGCATAAATGTCCAAGTATGTAATTTAAGCAGGCAAATGTTAAATTTTCAACCAGAAGAAAATAATGACTTGTTTACCCTTGAGGGTAGGATTAAGAACAGTAAGATATGAATATATGCATATTTGTTATACTTTATTCTTTCCTTAAAAACGAACGTATATTCTCAAACTGATATCTTGTTGATTTTGATTTCTTGCTTATTCAGCTTTTCTTTTGGTTTCTTACCCTTGAAATTAATTCCACCATTGTGATCCTTTGGTGATAATATATTTGTACTCACAGACTCCAACCCCAAACCTGACAAACCTGCTGTCAACCCACCAAATAGTGGAGGAGGTAAGCTTTAAAATGGTTCAAATCATCAATCACTTCATTTAGAATCTGCTTTCTCTTTATCATAGAGCTGCATGATTGTATTGTATAAACAATATTGTACTTTTCTTGCAGGAGGTGGAGCACTTGATAACAACGACCTGCTCGATGTTATTGGTGGGGATTACAAGCCTGATGGAGGCCACTCAGCTGGAGGTAATCGTCACACTAAAAACATTTCTCTTTTTAATTTGGGCTTTAATTTGTGTTGTCAGTCACTGAATCGTCACAATGTCACTTCACATTCACTCACAGTCATATGAGTTCAATTAGACGCTGGAATCTTTATATCCGAATTGAAGTGGATTAGTAGTATGAGCTAGTTTGAACCAAGGTTATTATAGATTAGAAATTTTCATTAGTTTTTATTTTTGCTTAGTTTTTCAGTTTGCTTTTTTATTTCAGTTTAGTTTTAGTTAGTTCAACAAGTGATTTTGTAGTTTTAGTTTAGTTTTTATTTTGAGGAATCGACTAGTTTCAGTTTAGTTTTTATTTTGAGGAATCGACTAGTTTCAGTTTAGTTTTTATTTAGTTTTAGTCTGAGTTTTAGTTTTTCCATTTATTAAGAGAAAGCCTTGACTTGTAGAAGCTGAAAAGTTTTGCATTGGTAATTGTAGTTTTTATTTAGTTTTCGTTTTTTTGTAATTGTCGTTTTTATTTTTACTTCAGTTAACTAAATTATTTTTTCATTGCTAGTTTTAGCTTTAGTCTTAGTTTTCGTTAACTATAATAACCCTGATCCATACTTTTCAGTACATGTTATGGTTCTCTCCAACTATGTGCTGCTTCTGTTGTTTGTTTTGATGTCCTTCACTACTTCTGACTCAGCCAAGTTGAGTAATTCAAGGGAATGTTCATCGGAATATTTATTTCTTGTCATAGTAACTGATTTTGATTTGGTGTGAGTATGAAAAAAGGGGCTAAAGGGAAATGGAAATAGATTGTATTAAATAAAAGACAGATGTGTTTGTCACAGACAGCAGGAGTCATGCAAGGCTTAGGCAAGCAGTGTGTTTTAATGGTAGAGTGTGGAGTATGTGACTTGTTCGTGTAAACTGCAGAATGCCCCAACAGACAGTTTGCGTTCTGAGGAACATCCGATCTGAGTCATCTCAGTTATGAAAAGTTGTGCCTGCAAAAAGACACTTCACCACAGTTCACACTTATTGCGGTTGAAATGTATAACTTAAAAGGGGAAATGGAAAGAAATGATGCAAATATAAAGAATTGTAATTCCCTGTTTTCTACTATGAATTATGTTTTTCACGCATCAGAAATCCTCACTGTTGCTATGCTCAAGTTGAATTACAACGCACAGATTTAGTGGTTGTGTTTTTCATTAGTTATAGAAAAACCCTTTTTTCTTCTGAATTAGGAAAACAGATGGTTGTTGCTGCATATCAGCCCAACCCATAAGCAAGCTTTTGTAAGTGCAGAGTTTCAACAGGGCGGCTGTGGCTGAGGGATAGAGCGGGCTTCCCGCAGTTAGATCCCAGTCTTCCCCATCTGCATGCAAAAAAAGTGCTGCTAATAGATGCACTGTATGAATGCGTGTTTCTGAATGGGTGAATGGTAAACTATACTGTAAAGCGCTTTGGGTGGTCATCAAGACTATATAAATACAAACCATTTCACAGAGGAGACTAAAGAGACAGGATATGTTTGCTTCCATGAAAGTGAGTGCCTCAACTATTTTGCTAATTCAGAAAAAACTAGCAGTATTTATTTTAATAAAAATTACTTAGCGAATTACTTACACAGACACAGACACTGTCTGTTGTTTTGGTAGATCTTGTCTTTGTGTCTCTGTACTGTTGTTCAGTCAGAGCATGGAAGGAATCGGTTGTTCTGCCAAAGAAAGAAAAATGAATATAAAGCCACAGGCTAATTAGAACCACATGACTGGTTTTCACATCTAAAGCGGCAGCGACAGTAACCTGTTATTAACTGCAGCTTACTGCACTCACAACTCCTCAGTTGGAATTTTACTTATATTGAACACAAACTTGCAAAACGGGAGCTTTATACTTACTTACTTCATAGCATATGTGATATGTGTTATTACATGTGATATTATATATCATTTTATACAATATTCTTGTCTTTTTGCACATTATATTTACATATTCATAGTATATTATCTAGTATCTTGTATGTACAGTATATCGCGTATACTCAAGTATTTATATGCATATATAATACCTATACTATATATCATATTATATCATATCGTGTATATATATATTTATACATGTGTTCATATTATATATTATATATCTATGTGTATATTATTATTATTATTACTATTATTGTTATTCTTATAATATACTATTGCTGCCATTATTACTACATACTGTTATTTTTATTATATACTGTTGTTATACTGGTATTGTATATATATATAAAATAGTTTATATATATTATTGTTGTTATTATTACTATGTATTATATTATATACTATATATACTGTACTATTATTATATACTGTTTAGTAACAATAACATTACCATCATATCATCAGTACTATTACCATCATTTTGCCACTGCAAGACGATGGTAATATCTACCTGTTTTTTAAGTGTCCTTGTCCTATTCTGTGTTTCTATTTTTTTCTACCTCATATCTTATTCTATTGTATTTTTATTGTGTCCAAATACCGAACTGCTACGACGACCTAATTTCCCTTTGGAGATAAATAAAGTAATGTATCTATCTTGATGAGACAGTAATCTTGATCTGCTCAGTCATACCCACAGTTCCACTACCACTAAATGTCTAACTTGACTTTTTCTTATTTTATTGAACGCAGGCCATGCAGAGGACCCGGGCTATGATCCTCACGGTATGTTCTTTTATTTACTTTACAGGTCTCCAGACACCCAAACAAGTCAACGTGTCTGTCTTTTCTCTGACCGTCATAGACTTTGTCGATTGATTTGCTATCTGTATTCTTCACAGGTGGTGCCGATCAACCTCAAGGTAAATCCACCATCGCTCTCGCTCCTCTGGGTGTACTTCTTGTCTTTGTGTGTGCATGCTCTTTCAGTGTGGGCATCATTAGCCCCCCCCCCCCCCCAGTGATCTGCTCTTGTGCTGCTTTTGGGCATTTCCTGTTTCCTGCCTTAGATGAAGCGGTATACTGCTTCTGTTTTTTCCCCCCGAACAGTTTTCATTGCCCATGTATTGTGAATTGTGGTTTTCAAAGCAATGGGTTTTTGAATATTTGTCAGACTTAGTTTAGATTAGTTGGATCTATTGTCTTTTCACCTGACAAACTTGGCAACTTTGGTTATAAATTGGACCTTGGCTTGAGTTTCATAGTGGCATATTCTTCATATTGATACCCCTGGTCTGGTTTCTCTGGCTAAAACGATACAATTGTGTGTCGTTGCAGATCCAGACCTTCCGTGGGGCCAAATCCTGAAGATGCTAAATGCTAACATGCCAGAGGAATTCTATATGTGGATGTCCAACTTAAAGCAAAACTTAATGACCCTGTTAGAGAGGGCCATGAATCTTCTCCAAGCTATACCATGAGCCATTGGTCCATTTATGTTCTGACTGGCTTTCCGATCTGAGGTTGCTGTTGATGAGTGATTTACTAGTGAGTTACAAATGTCTGTTGGATTGGATGTAAAAATATATCAGGGAGTTTGTAAAGCCAGGAATCAAAGAGGTGATGAAAGTTTTCTCATTTTTTGTTCCTAACATTTGGAATTCCATGGTTGTGGGGTGCGCCCCTGTGTGCTTAAGCTTAAAGTACTTCAACTGGAGCTCTGGTGCTCCTCCACAATTACAGGGAGTGGACAAAATAACAGAAATACTTTGGTAATTTGGTAATGTGTGAAAGGGAACCTCAAGTCCAGATCCAATCCCCCCGGTCATCCTCTGGAGGATGTTTAAAAACGGCCACTGACTGTTTCACAAAGTGGTTTAACTGCAGACTTATACGGGAAAGGAGGCCCTAGGATATATTTATTATAAAAATAAAGTGTATATATGACTTATCTAGTGAAGTTGCAGATCACAAGGACCAATAATTGGCACTGCATGTAATCCACATTCTGTTTTCCAGGAGTATTCAAATTGCATGGGGGCCGATGTTCCAACATACATGCACAGTGTATATACAGTGCATATGGAAACTAGCCCTACAATTAAATTCAGGTTTGTTGTAAATGAGATGTTTCTATTAATTTGTCCACCCCTTTGACAGTGAAAGAGACCTTGAGGTGTTTTTATATTTCTGTGATTAGACTCTCTTCAAGAGCTCTTTCTGTCTTTCCGACTCGGCTCAGTTGTTGTCAAAGTTTACAGAGAGCCACGCTAACTGCTGAGCCACCATCAGGTTAAAACTATGCAGCACTGCAAGTACTATATAGTACTGAGTTTGGGTGTGTATGCTTTCCTTTTTTTTCCCTTCATCTCTACACCCTGCTCTCTGCCATGACTCATTCATGTGTTGCTGTTAGACACCTTTATTCCTAAGGTGGAGTTTGAACTCCTGTTACCTACAACATCTATTTGAATGGGCTATTTTTTGTTTTTATGATGGGAGGCCATATTCCTGGTATTTTATTACCACTAAACAAGTTCATATGTCAGGAAATGAAGACAGCACTGTTCCCAGATGCCAGCTCTGTTTTGTTCAGTTTTGAGATTTCAAAATTCACTCAAAAGCAAATATATTTGATTCGTATGTTGTGGCTTTGTGAATGTTTTTTTCCGCCCTGCCTTTCTTGGCATGTGTGGCTACTACCTTTGCACTCACTGTCAATTCAAAGTCAGCATACAGTCTTAGCATTCCCAGCAGTCAGCTAAGAAATCCAAGATGTAGTGTTGTAAACCTGTTCCTCTTATGTTTCTTCTTCTCATCATCTTTGGATAATGTTTAATTTGAGATATTTTAGCACATGATGGTTTTTTTTCCCCTTTTGGTACTTTGTAGCTTATGAATAGTTCTTTTTGTATTTCGGTAACTGGCAGATATTTATTTTTGGTGGGTTCTTTGTAAATCCTTTCGTAAGTTCGCCTTGAGTCTTTATAGGATTTGCAACTTTGATGTGTAACAAAGTGACGACTGCTGTGATAATGAATAAACGGTGCATTGTCAGTTATCAGTTTGAATTAATGATCCATCAAGGCTGGGGAAGCAAATGAACAAAGTGGAAAACAGATTATTGGGAGTCCTTGTGAAACCTGAATGAAAATTGCAAGGGGTTCAATACATTTCCGTGTGATCACCTTTCGACAACCAAGCTGGGCCGGGACAGATTGAAGCCCTCAGAGGTAAGAATCCAGTCTGAGCAGAAACACTGTTCAAGGCCCTCAGGTGCCCTGCATGTGTGTGGGAAAGAACAAGCACCTCATGCTCAACATATCTCAGCAGTAAGTCATGCTGTAGGCTGGCATCCTGTTTTCTTTTGTATTTTTTCTTTATGTGTCCAGGCAACGCCCTATTTTCGCACACCGTGCCATCGTGACACATGACTCTAGCTCATGACTCACTGCGGTTTTTAAAATCAGGCCAGCCGACAGAACAGCTTGGCTTATTGGTTTGTCTGTGTGTGCGTGCGCTGCCTTTGTGCTCCACCCTTCCCTGGTGTTTGGGTGTGTTTGTTTTTTAACTCTTAATCCACCTTAATCCACCATCAGGATCGTTTGAGACCTTTTACTTACATTCGGTTAGATTTCGCCCTGATTGTCAGCTCATAAGCAACAAAATGTGTTTATTTGAACTTTTTAAAGTTTCTCCTTGCAGTGTGTTTGTTGGGTGAACCTTTTCCAACTCAAAGTAGACTGTTGCTTAAGGTTATTGACTGCCATCTTGTGGAAAAAGGAGGTTATAACACCTCACTGATTTGGAAATGTCTACAATTCATCAAATACTTACGCTTGAAATACGGTTAAGGTGACTGTAAATCTGCAGGAAGGCAGTTCAAGTCGATGTAATGTCTATTGAAGTCATAAAGACATCTGTGTGTGTGTGTGTGTGTGTTTGCTTTGTCCTGCAGAAGCTGGATCTGGACAGATTGCAGGAATTGTCAGTGCCATAGGAGTCGCTCTGGCCGGGGCAGCAGGCAGTTACTTTGCTTACCAGAAGAAAAAGCTCTGCTTCAAGCTGCAGGGAGGTCAGTATGTTTTTTTTTTTTATCCAAAACCGGATATTTTTACAATGGCATAAATTAATACAGTTATCACAGCATATAATGGAGAAATCATATTAATAAAACTTTCCTTCAGGTGCAGATCCTGAAAGTGGCAAAGGCCAGCATGGCACTAACTCTGACCCTCAAGGTGAGTTTTTTTGTTTTTCTTGGACACTTACTGCAACCAAGATTTGCTGTTTACATTATACTGAAGGGCAATTAGGTAGGTGTCTCACCACCATGAATTTACAGCACAGCAAAGAGTCCGAAAATATAGTAGTCTCACATATAGTCTCCTCACCACATATGACCTTCTTTATGCTCAAAGTTATTCATGACTCATGACCTAATTTCATGGAGGGCACCCTCTTTCAAAGAAAGATATTTCCTCCTGCCATCTTGTTCGAAAGGCAAGGTCCCTTCTAGCCTCTCAGCATTTTTATACATGAACATGAAAAGATGATAATACAGCTTTAAAATTAATTACTACTACTATGTAATCATAAGAACCATATTTAAGCCTATAAAACCTTACTTATTGTCAGTAAAGGTACTGAATTACTTGCAGTAATTCAATTCAATTCCATTTACTCATCATATACATTATCTCCAGGCAATTTACATGCTAAGGCTGAGACCTTAAAAAATATAGAGAGCAGTTCCCACAATGACTGGGAGAAACCTTTACCAGAAAGCAGAGAAAAAATGGGGAACTGAGGAGAGGTGGGTGGAAAAGAGTAGTGTAACCATCATATTTAAGCTCTGCCAGACTGGTTATTTTAATGGAAATGGTAAGAATGATAATTATAGATAGAAGCACTAGTTAATATAGTATTAATAATAATAATAATAACAATGCAGAATGAGAGAGAGAGAGAGACCGTGGGAGGAAAAAACACAGCGTTAGTGACATGTATTGAAATAAATGAAGTGTGTAATGTTCCCCCAGTAGTCTAGGCCTATAGCAGGATAACTGAACCCAGAGTGGGAGCTGCTTCCACAGGGGGAGGAGCCTGGTATTATGTATTTTATATTGTTGAATTGCCTATCATAACTGCATTATTGTTTCAGTAGTATTGTACTGTTACAGCTGATATTTGCTGTGCTTTATTTCCAGCTTCATAACAACAATGCATCATTTTAAGCGCTATCTAAATATGTATCATTCAACAAGTCTGTAGGCTGACACCTAGTGGTGAATTGCAGATAGTGCCGATAGTTACTCTACATTGTGCATTGACTCTTACACCTGTTGTTCTGTTCTTTTAACTTCCAGTATTCAGCAACCTGCTCAGGACAAACTAGACAGCCTCTTTTAAAGCACAAGACAAAAGAGGACCCCACGACAACACAGAAGTTCATTCAACTCTCACCTCTTCACCTCTGGTCCATGACATGAGACCTTCTCTGCGTCTTTCTGCAGCCTGATTACTTAAAACTATAATAGCTGAAGCCTAACTGAGTCAAAAATACACATAGTTATGTACCATTTATTGCTCCATTCACTTTTAACAAAACCTCAATGCTAGTTGTTTTAGAGCCATGTGATGATTTCAGCATGTAGATTTGCACGGAGTCTGTGTCTATGTGCTTTGGTTGAGTCCTGTAACAGTTTTCTTTCTTTTCATCATCTTAACATTGTGTAGTTTAACAATGTGTCTGCATCGGTGGGGCGATGACGTCCTGTGACTCATTGTAGTAGTAGACACATTCGTTTGGTATCTAAGAATGATAGAACACCTTTAACTGTGTTTGTGTGGCTCAGAATGTGAATGCTTTACTGCTTCATCTGTTTTTTCAGCGTAAGCTCCGATCAGAGCAACTCAACTCTACCTGCAGAACTTTCAAACTAAAAGCCTACCAGTAACTAGATTTGTTGAGTTAAGGCTTTTAATTGTATTCCTCAGGAAGGACGTATTTTAATTGACAGCAATTCAACAAAATCGGCAAATCAAATAAACCATATCGAGTAAACTTTCCCTTTTGTGTTATCACGCATAATTTTTTTTAATTTAACCATTTTTTGTAACGATCTCATAGATTATTGTCGCCATTTTGTGGGGTCTTTTATTTAGTTTTATTCTTTCATAGCTGCACTGACCTTTTTTTTTTTTTTTTTTTTATCCAAATCCATTTTTGTACACAGGGAGTCAACAGTTGTCAGACACTGAGGCAGTTCAGAAAAAACATAATTTGTTAGGTTTGCTGTTAGTA